CCACACGATGGCAGCCTGCAGGCACCGACCGGAGTCTTGCGCCTGGAAAACTGCACGTTGGAAGCAGGGAAAGTGTTGGTGAAGAGTAGGAAAATAGTCCTCAGCAATGTACCTTTCTCCTGGCTATAGTCACTGTCTTCTTCCTCACCTGTTTCGGGCGCATGCCATCCCCGTGCGTGGACTGTGGTTTGATAATCCCTTGGCTTACCTGAGAAGGAACTGAGCACTCGGAGCAACCACGTTCTGGTCTGGTGTGCCCCTTGGTAGGGAGGTTGGGGCTGCTTGGATGACAGTGGAAATGAAAGAGAGTGATCGGGGCAGGAGCCTGGGAGGGCAGGCTCCCCAGGCTGGCTGTGCCGCAGCAGGTCATCTGCATGGGGCGCAAGGTGCTAGGCTGGGGAAAAGAGCGTCAAGCAGGCTGTTGGGGAAAAGAGTGAGATTCAGATTATGCTTTCCACCAGGTTTGCTTAGGCGCTGAGTTGGCTTCTTCATCTGACCTTCCTCTTCCTCCTGGCAGACTCTGAGACAGCTTTGGCTGACCTGACCCTGGACGTGCTTCGTCTGCTGCTGATGGATCACTGGAGCTGGCTGTGCACAGAGAACATCCAGAAAGTCTTCCACCTGCTCTTCGGGACCCTCATTCAAAGGTAAGGCCTCAGCGACCAACCTCACAGCTCTGTGAGGTGGCATTGCCTTTGGAGTTAGTCTAAAATGGAGCTTTTGCCTGAATGCAGATAAATGCTTTCCGTCGCATCAAACAACAAGGTTCTGTAAAGAAGATGTCGCATGTATGTAGAGTAAACATCTCGCAGATTTGCACTAGGAGCTGTTTTCACTGTGAGCAGCAATGTAACCAGCAGGCAGCCTCCTGTCCTCTAACAACAGGGGAGAGGAAGGATCCAGCCCTGGGAATAGGAGGTTTCTTGCCTCGTGAAAGGGCAAGAGTGCCCAGCTCCTTGGCTTTTCAGGGAGAGATTGGCCTCTGCTGACCTCCTGGTCTCTCGCTGCCCAGGGGCTCAGCTTGTTCTTTCTACAAAAGGAGAATGAACAGGCACAGGGAACAGTGTTTTGTCAAGTAACAGCTCAGAGAGTGGCCTCCCAGGGCTTTTGCTCTCGCTGATGCACCCCTTTCTGATCTGCGGTGGGCCAGTAGTGCCTGTGCCTTGGGCAGTGACCCACAGATGTATTAGGGAAAGAACCAGTTGGGATGTACTTGCCAAGCTTTTCTGAGGCCAGTGTCTCTGTGTGGTAAGGCACCAGGCCAAGAAACACAGAGAGCATTTCTGTTTTCTTGTGTAGGTCGGTGACCATCACTAGCTGAGGATGTGGTCCTTTAGAGGCAAAGGAAAGCCTTCCCGGAAAGACGTTGGCTAGGGGGAGCCTCGGAGCTGTGCTTTTCCCACTCCTATGCCCTTTTGTCTCTCGCAGGCATTCAAAGCCAGTGTCAGAATGTGCAGGGCAGCACATTATAACCGAGCTGGTAATTTAAGCTACCCTCAGCAGAGGTTGCTGGAGCGCTTTGAGGTCAGGGGCTGCTGGCCATCACTCCCCAGTCTGTTTCCTTGGGTGGGAGGAGGTGGGTGTTGCTCCCACTTCTCCAAAATGGGCTCTGGTCTCTTGGGGAATGAGCTGGAACCCAATCCTTGTGTGTAAGCACAGAGGTATGAGGGCTTGAATATGCACGTCATCACCTCCTAATAAGCTGTGTCCCGGTCACCCAGGGAGCCTGCGGCACCGACACGTGGCATTGGTATTTTCCACTAGAGAAGCTGTCATACACACAGCACATGCCTGGCTCTGGAAGGTGGAGGAGCTCCGCAGGTTGTGCTAGTGGAGCAGCGTGAGGATGAATGTGTTTGTAGCTGCTTCGCTTCAATGGGTCTGGGTGAACCCACGTGTGCTGCAGGCAAACCTTTGGCTGGAGGTGATGTTGGGAACTCCCGTGACTCCTTGGCGTCGTGATCAGGACAGGGTGCAAATACAACATTTTGAGCTAACACGGTGTCCCTGGTTCGGTACATGTCTGTGCTGAAATCCACATCTTGACGCCGGCTCTGCTCTTGTTCTGGGACAGTCAGGAGTCCGCAGCTCTGTGGTGAAGGGGACAGGAGAAGGAACTGCACCGTGTGAACTGACCCATTGCCAGGAGGATGGTATGGCTCATGGATTGCTGCAGGGAACACTTCCTCCCCTGTTTCTCCCACTGTAGTTGCCACCCCAACCCAGAAAGCTGTGTTTGGAACAGCGCTTCAGTCTCCCGAAAGGGTGGAGTGTTGGGGTGGAGGTTCTCCTATCTCGAATCAAGGGTGGCAGGTTTTTAGTGATCCTGGAAGCCCGTGTGGAGGACTGGGGCTCAGCAGGGTACTGCAATGGGTGCAGGAACTGCCCTGAGAGCAGTCAGTGCCTGCCTGTCTGAAAGCTGTCATCTGGTATGAGAGCAGAGTTCAGACAATGCCTGAGAAGCACATTCAAGATGAGGCATGTAGTCACCTCCGCAGTGGAGGGGAATTGGGAATGGGGGGGCTCCACGCTGGCTTGCCGTTGCACCCTGTCCCTGAGCCACGCAGAAGGGTGGCTGAGACTTGTACTCATGGCTGGCCCAGGTGGCCACTGCTGTCCTGAGCAGATCAAGAAGTCTCTAGCTCAGACCTGCTGCCAGCTGCCTACCCAGGGACACAGCGTGGATTTGGTGGCGTTTCTCTTCCATTTAAGTATTTGCAACTTGATCGCTGCTCGACCAGACCTGGCACAGCCCTGGCACTGGCATTCTGGCTGGCATTGCATCTGGGTACCCTTTACAGGTGCAGAAAATACCAGAAGCTGTTCTGGGAGCGCGTGCTATTCAAGGCGTCGTTGCTCCCACCTCTGAGAACAGACAGACAAACATGGGGCAGCAGATGGGCACGCATCCTGTCTCTGACCGTTGCTGGTCACAAAGTACGAGTAGGAATCATCCCTCCACGAGATGAGGTCCTTCTCAGTTCCCATCAGTGGTTGGGTTGGGTGGTGAGTGGTGGAAAGGAGGTGTCCTAGCAGTGTTTGGATGTTAGGAAAGGGGTTGCTGCTGGGTGGATCCTCCTCTGCCAGCTTGTATTTGGTGAGGAGCATGCTGCTCCTTGCAGCCTCCTCGCAGCTGCCTTCATGGGCATTGCTGCCGCTCTGCACCGAATGTGCCTCATCCCAGAGCAGAAGAATCAACAGAAAAACACCAGGAATAAGGTCCAGCTTCTCCGAAGAGCCAATCCCCCTCTCCTTTGGGGACTTTCTCCCTTGGGCTTGTGTTGCCCACAGCATCCCCTGCAGTGACATCGAGTGACTGCTGTGACCGCACTGTTGCTGATTATGGGACCTCCCTACCCTTCTTCGTTTGCCATTCTCTGCACGGAGCAACCCACCACACTCCTCTTTCCCCTCTTCTCCGTAGCTGAAATAGCTGGAGCCAGGCCACCATCTGTCTTCCCTGACTGTCAGTTTAATGGCAGCCAGCGAGAGGAAGGCTGCATGACCGAAAAAGGTATTGTTAAGTAAAAGGGAGGCCGCGTGTGCAAGCCCACATCTGTACGGTGCTCATCCCATTATGTAACGGGGAGTGATTCTTTTTTGGAGCCGAAAGGAGAGGCAGAGAGGCCGGGAGGCTCGCTGGGAGCGGGGACGACCCCGGGATCTCCACACGCTGGGTCCGTGCCTGTAAACAAACCCGCTGCCCCGCTCTGGCTCCGCACTCCTCCTCTGTCCGGCTCTCGCTTCCCTCCCACCGGCTGGAAATGCAGATCTACTGTCTTTCCTGGGGAGGCTGCACAGGGACCTGTTTGCAAAGGGTCGTAGATGGGGCTATTCTGGGCTCTGGGGGTGTTCGGTGGAAGAGCTAAAAAGCATTTGGAGAATCCGTGCGCTTTTTAGAGCCTTGTGAGTCAAAGCGGCATTAAAAATATACGGCAAGCACGCGAACCACGCCACGGCTGTGACCCTGCGCCCTGCCCTCGGTCTGTCCCCGACGGCACGATGGTCACTAGGTCAGGGGTCTGCCAGTGCCGCGACGAGCCGGGGGCAGCCGTGGAGCCAGAGCGACAGCCGCCGGGTACCAGCTCGCTGTGCCCTTCAGCTGCTGCTGGGGTTCTCCCAGGCCCACATCTGCTTCCCCTTCTGGAGGGGAGTCCCAGAAGAGTGCCAGGATCCCAGGGATGGACCTGGGAGGATTTTAGATGCATATCCAGGTCTGTATGCTTTTCCTAGCCCCTTCCCATGCATCACAACAGAAAGCCGTGGCAATGCAAACCACCGAGTGGAGGGAAGGTGTCGTGGCACACCCCGGCTGTCTGCACCCTGTAACCTGAGCGGGGCTGGGACACAGAGTCCGTGCCGGGGCTCGGAAGCGCCTGTCTGTATAAAGGAGTGTGTGGACCTACGCAGGCAGCTTTGATGGTGTCATGTTCCACCAAGCACGAGTTAAAATAAATGCAAAGCATCCCTGCCTTACCCAGGAGCTCAGCACCGCTTGGCTTGCTGTTCTCTTTGGGTCACTCTGGTGCTCCTCCGGGCTTTGTCCCCTGTCCCATCGTTCCTCGGTAAAGCGGTTGGATTTGGGGAGGTGATGTTCCAGCCTGTGTGAGACGTAGATGGAGAGCCAGGGGTGCTTTGCGACTGATTACAGATGACTGTCGGGCTTTCATGAGAGCAGTTTCTTGCAAGTTCTTTTAGCTCTGGTTCCCTTTGCGAGTCTGGCTAGCTTTGGCTTGTTTTACTTGTAGGGTTTCCTCTCTTGAGCTGATTCTCCTGAAGTTTCAGCCACTGCTGAACTAGCATGCGAAAGGAAAGTCTGGCTGAGCTCAGATCCGCCCACGAGCTTGGGCCATGGTCTTGCAGGGAGCCTGGCTCTTGGGTGCTGCAGTGAGGGACACTGAGCCCTGGGGTGGGAGCAGAGGAGAGAAGGGGCACTTGGGCAGTGCACAGGGCAGGTTTTGAATATGTACACTAAAAAGGGTCCAAGTGGTCCTGGGAAGGCTGTAGCAGCAGGGGTTGTCTTTGATTTGAGGTGCTAGATCCTGCCAAGCATTGCTGGGGGTCAAGAGCTGGGCAAGGCCACAGAGGCACGATAGTCTTCATCCTATCAGCAGTAGGTCTGGAATTCTTGTTGCAGCCTGGATTGTGGCAGGGGGTTCAGTCTGTTAGGGTTTGGATAAACAGTTTGGCTAGGTCCCGGTCTAAAGAGCAAACGCCTCAACACAGGCAGCCCTGCTTGCCTATGGAAACGATTTGGGCACATGGAGGAAGCCGATGCCAGGCTCCGGGGTGGGTACAGGGAGGATGCGGTGGACATGAATGGTGCTGCATCCTCTGCAGGCAGCTGGAGCCTGCAGGGCTGTGGGTTATTCCAGAATTTGTCCTTTCCAACGCTGTCCTGCACATTCAATGTGCCTTTGACGGGAGATGCAAGGCTGGGGGGAGCAGGTGGTGTCTCCCTGGCCCCTGAAGCAAGCTCAGAGCTGGCTGGAGGTTGCTCCCTGCAGAGTAAAAACTACCATCAGCAACGGGGCCTCTGGTCTCTAGGGAGCCTGTCGCATTGCCGTGGCCTCCCCTCTGTCCTTTCCTGGCTCTCCGTGCCATCAGGTTTCATGTCCCCCCCATCCCTGTTTCACTGTGTGTGTTG